TTTCTCCAAACAAGATACACAAATGGCCAATAAACACATGCAAAGATGCTCAACTTCATTAGCCATCATGGAAATGTATATCAAAACCACAATGAATGCCTTAATGAGTAAGGAAAACAATGATTCAAGGTGACACCCAAATTCTGACTGCTAATGTGAGACAAATTTTTGAATGGGTAAAGTTTGCCCCTAAGGTGACTTGTCTACTTTGCAAGATGCCTTGGAATCGACATCTGCCCGTGCCCCGCTTAACACTGAAAGAGCAGAATGGTATGAAGATAAGACTGAAGAAATGCTGGTTTCCCATAAGAAACTGGATCGGCCTCCAAGGAAAAAACAAAAACAAAACAACCACGATGAGACACCACTTCCCATCCATTACAATGGCTATACTCAGAAAGATGGATAATAACAACCATTGACAAGCATGCAGGGAAATGTCTGTACACTGGTGATGGAATATAAATGATACAGCTGCTTTGGAAATGGTCTGGCAGTTCCTCAAAAAGTTAAATACAGAATTACTGTATGACCCAGCAATTCAACTCCTGGAATAGTATATACCCAAAATTAAAAACAAAACGATATAAATGTTTGTACATAATTATTCCTCATAGTCAAAAAGTGGAAACAACCCAAGTGTCACCAACTGATGAACAAAATGTGGTATATCCCTAAAACTGAATTACTATTCAGCCATAAAAAGGAATGAAGTACTCTTAAATACTAAAACATGGATAAACCTTGAAAACATTATGTTAAATGAAGGAAGCCAAACACAAAAGACCACGTATTTTATGATTCCATTTATACAAAACATCTAGAATAGTCAGATTCATAGAGATGGAAAGTAGATTAATGGTTGCCAGGGGAAGAGGGTAAGGAGACATGGGGAGAGAATGCTAAAAGATGTAGATTTATGTTTCTTTCTTATTTTGATAATCTATTCCTTTTAGTCTTATATTCAACTCCTTGACATCCCAATTTGTGAGATCTGCTCAACCTTATCTGGCTAACTGAATCTGAAAGCTAGAACTTCTAGGCTAGTCTGAGAAAGAATATGAAAAAGTGAATTTAAAAAGTGCTGAAAAAAAGTACTTCTTTTCTAAGTCTAGAAACACGAACTGTTCTATCACCAATTACTGATGTTTACTGTGAACAAATGCATTACCTTCACTTTTACAGGATCAAACACTAGCTAGCTCTTAGTATACTGCTATTATATAAAATAATGTCTCTCTCTTTCTTTTAGTTGAGTGGTCAGAAATAGAAGAGCAATCAAAATACATTGCTACTATCATTCTGGATCCAGTTCTAGACCTCTCAAATAGAAAATAATTTCTCACTTCCCTACACTCAAAGGCATACTTTTGCATACTGAAAATAAACATAAGCATGTTTGAAAAATGTATTACAATGAATAAAGGAAAGTAAATGCTATTACAAATTCCTACCACCTTTCTCTTTTATACTCATTTCATATTTGACATGATTCTTTTATTGTGCCATCAACCCCTTTACTCCTTTGCAGTTGCCTGAAATCTAGCAAAGCACTATATATTTATTCAAATCGTTGCTCAAATCCATCATCTTCAAAGGAGTTTTAATTTTTTTTAATGTTTATTTATTTTTGAGAGAAAGAGTGAGCAGAGGAGGGGCAGAGAGAGAGGGAGATATAGAATCTGAAGTAGGATCCAGGCTCTGAGCTAGCAGCACAGAGCCTGACACAGGGCTCAAACTCACAGTCCATGAGATCGAACCTGACGCAGGGCTCAAACCCACAGACCGTGAGATCATGACCTGAGCCAAAGTCGGATGCTTAACTGACTGAGCCACCCAGGTGCCCCAAAAGAGTTTTAAAGAAATAAGTTACAGCACAGAGGCATAATTATTTTCCTTAAAGATATCTTACAGTAAACGGCATGTTTATGAGCAGCAGCTTCTTGTAACAATCAACTTGCCTTTATAAGGCTCCAAAGACAACTGATGGAAAAGGAAAGGTGATTGGGAACTTTGAACCTTCTGGTTTAAAAGAACTCAATGACAACATATTTTTGGTAACATAAATGTACCTTTTACTAGCAATTTTACTTCAAAATAGTTCTGGGTGGGGAAGGAAAGAGTACTGTTGCTAGGTAACACAATTTAAGGATTTCCTTGTGTTTAACTGAAATAAAATACCAGCAATGAATTTCCTTTCATTCATTCAAATCTTGTTTCCCCAAAATGTAACTTTTAAATAATTTTCTAATTTATCCCTTTTTAGTAGTTTAGAGACTGAAAATACAGAATCTAAACCATTATCATTTGGCCATTTGCAACACGGATGGAGCTCAAAAGTAGAATGTTAAGCAAAATAAGTCAGTCAGAAAAAGTCAAATACCATTATGATTTCATTCATATGTGGAATTTAAGAAACAAATGAACAAAGAACATAAAAGACAAACCAAGAAACAGACTCTTCACTACAGAGAACAAACTTATGGTTATCAGAGGAGAGGTAGGTGGGTAGATGGGTTAAACAGGTGATGGGGGGGGGCGCCTGGGTGGCACAGTCAGTTAAGCGTCCGACTTCAGCCAGGTCACGATCTCGCGGTCTGTGAGTTCGAGCCCCGCGTCAGGCTCTGGGCTGATGGCTCAGAGCCCGGAGCCTGTTTCCGATTCTGTGTCTCCCTCTCTCTCTGCCCCTCCCCCATTCATGCTCTGTCTCTCTCTGTCCCAAAAATAAAATAAAATAAAACGTTGAAAAAAAAATAAACAGGTGATGGGGATCAAGGAATGCACATCTCATGATGAGCACTGGTGTTGTATAAAATTGGTGAATGACTATATTGTATACCTGAAACTAACATGACACTGTATCTTAACTAATTAAAATTAAAGTAAAAATTTAAAAAAAGATCATTCAGGGTTTTGTATTCTATTTCTCAAGAACAAATTCTTACTGAGTTTGAATAGGTCATAATATCTTTAATTTTATCACTTTTAACATTCCAATCAAAATTCAAATAATGTTTTAAATTCTTCCCATAAATTTTGTGTTTCAAATCCACGTTTTCATGTAATCTTCCAATAATACATGAAGTGTTATTAATTTTATAAGATATGTAAAGTATCTACAAAAATATTAGGTGAATAATATAGTTGAGATCAGAACCTGGATATTCTGACTTTCTCCACTATATCCCCCTACTTACTAGCTTTTTAATACTCAAGTTTCTAGGGATTAATTACTATCTCTCACACTAGTCTGTTACAAGAATTAAGTCAGGTAACACATGTGAAATGCTTTGTCCAAGGCCTGCCACATATAAGTGGTCAAAAATACGAGTTATCATTACTAATATGACAGCTGCTTCTATAAAAATGTTCACTCCTTAAAAAACTTCTCAAAGATAGTGAAGTGACAGAAACATATCTGAAATATACTTTGTGTTCATGTGAAAAAGTGAACTTATTTATTTAGTAACTATTAGAATCCTAACACTTCCTGAGACTCCTAACACTCAACTGTAGTATTATACCTAAAATCCAAAATTAATCTCCAAATAATGAACACTTAGGTTGGTTCAAATTTTTCACCAAACACTGCAGTGGATCCTACACATGTAACCACTTTTTAGAATTCTAAGAAATGAAAATGCTGGCATCAATGTACATGCATGTGTCATTCCATTTCCATTTCCCTCTTCTTTCCTTTCATTTCACGTAGGCTGTGCTCCCAACGTGGGGCTTAAACTCACAACCCCAAGATCAAGAGTTGCATGTTCTACTGGCTGAGCCAGCCAGGAGCCCCATATATGTACATTTTAAAAATTTTGATGCTTAATAGTCAAAATGCCATCTAATTTACATTCCACCGGCAATATTATGAGGGTCTTTTTTTAAAAAAACAATTTTTCAATGTTTATTTATTATTAGAGAGTGCATGTGTAGCAGCAAGGTGGGGGCACAGAGATAGGGAGAGAGAGAATCCCAAGCAGGCTCTGCACTGACAGCTCAGAGCCCAACTCAGGGCTCATCTCACCAACCATGAGATTTTGACCTGAGCCAAAATCAAGAGTCAGATGCTCAACCAACTGAGCCACCTACGCACCACCCCTAAACAGAAGTTTATTTAGAAAACAAAACTCAAGGTGCCTGGGTGGCTCAGTTGACTAAGTGTCTGACTTCAGCTCAGGTCATGATCACGGTGTGTGAATTCAAGCCCTGCATTGGGCTCTGTGCTGATGGCTCAGAGCCTGGAGCCTGCTTCAATTCTGTCTCCCTCTCTCTCTGCTCCTCCCCACTCACACTCTCGTCTCTTCTCTCAAAAATGAACACAAGAAAGAAAGAAAGAAAGAAAGAAAGAAAGGAAGGAAGGAAGGAAGGAAGGAAGGAAGGAAGAAAAGGAAAAGAAAGAGAAAAGGAAAAGAAAGAAAGAAAAGGAAAAGAAAGAAAGAAAAGGAAAAGAAAGAAAAGAAAGAAAAGAAAGAAAGAAAGAAAGAAAGAAAAAAAGAAAGAAAGAAAGAAAAAGAAAAGCTTGACTTGAAGGGAAAACTATCTAGGATTCATTTAGAGTAATTTATCCCTATGTAAAGACAGATTGCCCTATATGTAACAGCTTCATATAGTTATAAAAGAAAAACATGCGAATTCGCCATTCGAAAAACTATGCAAGGATTTTTATGTTGTTCTTTTTTTATTAAACGTTGAGAGAAAAATAACTTACTGGTATATAAAGATAAGAGCTGAATGAACATACCACTAATGGAGAAAGGGGGTATTTTCACAGAACCAGCATTTTTCCCCATCCCATCTTCATTTGATGTCAATCAAAACATACCATTGGCCATTTAATTTAAAAAATACAATATACTCATGCATATACACATACAAAATGAAAGAACAGAGAAAACTATACTGTGGTAGTCAGGATGTGGTAGAACCAAATTGCGGTTTCCTGAGAATGTCGTGGTCTGGAGGAACAGAGTTCTGGAGTAAGGTAGCCAGTTCTCTTTTTAGTAGATGCCTGCTGTCTGCTGCTGGAACACATCAATTGCATCTTCATCCTCCATTTCCAACTGTGCAGGCTTGTCTGCTTCATTGACTGGCTGCCCATCAAATCAGAATCTAATCTGCCTTATTGACAAACCCTGCCATTCACAATAGGCTTTCATTAGTTTACTAAGTGGTTTATGTCTCTTAATCTTAAACTGCATCATAGAACCATCCTGCCCTGTCACCTTCAAATTAATATGATAGTTGTCCTCAGTCTTTACTCCTTCCTTGGGCTTTTCATCAGCCACAGTAAACACCAGAGTCTCCTTCGCTGCTGCTTCACAAAAGAGACACCTGGTACCTCAGGGAACCAGCACACAAGCATCACCAGGAGCAGAGCAGAAGGAGGAAGCAGCAGTGGAGGAGGGAGCGGGCACGCCAAGAAGGTCTGTTTGTAACATATCTCGATAACACACATCACAATCTTTTCCAAATTTGATAAACATTTTACAGTCCATAAATTAAGAAATTAGCTCTCTTAAACATGCTGCGTTTTCATAGTTTGGTGTTTATCTTTTAACTCTGTTAATGAAAGGTTTTACTGTTAGAAATATAAAATGTTTTAAACAGGTAAATTTATTAATCATTTCTGTGACAATTTTTAACTCTGGTGTAAGTTTTGAAAGTGGCCTTTCCTATCCCAATATAAAATAGGTTTCCTTACTACTTTCCATTTTATGAAGAATTCCAACTATTTTTAATTAATTCTGTTATAAAGTAGTGATCTACTTTTCACTTTTTATGCAGATGAGCATTCTTCTTGATCTTTATCTAAACCACCATTTAATGAAGTGGTCACATGAGATCCTTCTATAACAGAAGTCCTCCTTTTAAAATTTAACCTTTTTTAATGTAACTGTTCTTAATTATAAAAAAGATGTGCAAGTCTTTATAAAGAGGCTAAATAAATAAATGGAGTCTCCTTGTAACAGGAAGAATTGATACCCTACCAATGTTAACCTCTTCTAAATTAAACCTACAGATTCAAGTCCATACAATAAAAAAAGTCCTACGAAACATTATTTAGGGATTTAACAAACTGATTCCCAAATTCATAAGGAAGAGCAAAAGGTCAAGACACTAAGAAATCTGTATTTGTCTCCTATGGCTGCGATGACGGATTAGGGCCACAAACTTGATGTTCTGCATTACATTCACTCATCTTCTCTCTGGTATCTACAGATCAGTGTATTCTATTAAATGGGGATGGTTATTGTTGGGCTATCAGATAGAAGTTGGGCTATCAGATAGAAGTTTTCTAAAAATTAGATGTTATATAAGAGTCATGAAGATTTCTTTCAATAATGAGGGAAGATTATCTGGTAACTTCTGCCATAATGCCATAAACATTTTTCAGTTAAAGTGCTGTTTTTTGTTTTTATTTTTTACATTATACAGACTTTAGGTTCTGAACCAATTTCTCTGCACAGGTACTAAAGACAACCCAAGGTCTTTTTTCTTTCTTTCTTTTTTTGCAGGTTGTCATTTGTGTGTTTTTTTTAATTTACTTATTTAAAATCAAGTTAGTTAGCATACAGTGTAATATTGTCTTCAGGAGTAGAATCCAGTGATTCATCACTTACAAATAACACCCAGTGCTCATCCCAACAAGTGCCTTCCTCAATGCCCCTTACCCATTTAGCCCATCCCCCTTCTACTTCCCCTCCAGCAACCCTGTTTGTTCTCTGTGTTTAAGAGTCTCTTATGGTTTGCTTACCTTTTTTTCTGTCTGCTTTTTCCTTCCCTTCTCCTATGTTCATCTGTCTTGTTTCTTAAATTCCATATGAGTGAAATCATATATTTGCCTTTCCCTGACATTTCGCTTAGCAGAATACATTCTACTTCCACCTACCTTGTTGCAAATGGCAAAATTTCATTCTTTTTGATCACCAAGTAGTACTCCTTTGTATATATATGTATATAAACATATATACAACATCTTTATCCATTCATCAGTCAATGGACATTCTGGCTCTTTCCACAATTTGGCTATTGTTGACAATGCTGCTATAAACATAGGGGTGCATGTGCCTCTCCAAATCAGCATTTTTGTGTCCTTCAGATAAATACCTAGTAGAACAATTCCTGGGTCATAGGGTAGCTGTTTTTAATTTTTTGAGGAACTTCCATACTGTTCTCCAGAGTAGCTGTCACCAGTTTGCATTCCCACCAATAGTGCAAAAAGGTTCCCCTTTCTCCACATCCTCACCAACATCTGTTGTTTCCTGAGTTGTTAATTTTAGCCATTCTGTCAGGTGTGAGGTAGTATCTCACTGTGGTTTTGATTTGTATTTCTATGATGATCTGATGAGCATCTTTTCATGTGTCTGTTAGCCACCTGGATGTCTTCTTTGGAAAAGTGTTCACATCTCCTGCCCATTTATTCACTGGATTGTTTGTTTTTTGGGTATTGAGTTTGGTACGTTCTTCTAAGATTTTGGATACTAACCTTTTATCTGATATGTTATTTGCAAATAGCTTCTCCAATTCAGTCAGTTGCCTTTTAGTTTTATGGATTGTTTCCTTGGCTATACAGAAGCTTTGTATCTTGATGAAGTCCCAATAGCTCATTTTTGTTTTTATTTCCCTTGCCTCTGGATACACGTCTAGTAAGAAGTTGCCGCAGCTGTGGTCAAAGAGGTTATTGCCTGTTTTTTCCTCTAGGATTTTGATGGTTTCCTGTCTTACATTTAGGTCTTTCATCCATTTGAATTAATTCTGTGTGTGGTGTAAAAAAGTGGTACAGGTTCATTCTTCTGCATGTCACTGTCCAGCACCATTTGGTGAAGGGACTGTCTTTTTTCCATGGATACTCGTTCCTACTTTGTTGAAGATCAGTTAGCCATACATTTGTGGGTCCATTTCTGGGTTCTCTATTCTGTTCCATTGATCTGTGTGTCTGTTTTTGTGCCAGTACCATAAACTGTCTTGATGATTACAGCCTTATAATACAGGTTGAAGTCTGGAATTGTGATGCCTCCAGCTTCGTTTTTTTTTTTTTTTTTTTTTTTTTTTTTTTTTTTTCAACATTACTTTGGCTATTCAAGGTCTTTTCTGGTTCCAACAAATTTTAGGATTATTTGTTCTAGTTCTTGAAGAATGCTAGTGTATTTTGATAGGGATTGCATTGAATGTGTAGATTGCTTTGGGTAGTATAGACATTTTTTTTTAATGTTTATTTTTGAGAGAGAGAGCATGAAAAAGGGAGGGGCAGAGAGAGAGGGAGACAAAGAATCTGAAGCAGGCTCCAGGCTCTGAGCTGTCAGCACAAAGCCCAACATGGGGCTCAAACCCACAAACCGCGAGATCATGACCCAACCCGAAATCAGACACTTAACCAACGGAGCCATCCAGGCACCATGGGTAGTATAGACGTTTTAACAATATCTGTTCTTCCAATCCATGAGCATGGAACATTTTTACATTTCTTTGTGCCTTCTTCAATTTCTTTCATAAGCTTTCTATAATTTTCAGCTTACAGATCTTCTACCTCTTTGGTTAGTTTTATGCCTAGGTATCTTATGGTGTTTGGTGCAAATGTAAGTGGGATCGATTCCTTGATTTCCCTTCTGCTTCATTATTGGTGTACAGAAATGCAACCAATTTATGAATGTTGATTTTACATCCTGAGACTTTCTTGAATTCACATACCAGTTCTAGCAGTTTTTAGGTGGAGTCTTTCAGGTCTTCCATGTTGAGTATCATGTCATCTGCAAAGAGTGAAAGTTTGACTTCTCCCTTGCCAATTTGTATGTCTTTTATTTCTCTTTGACGTCTGATTGCTGAGGCTAGGACTTCCAGTACTATGTTGAACAGTGGTAAGAGTGAACATCTCTTTCATGTTCCCGACCTTAGGGGGAAAGCTCTCAATTTTTCCCCATCAATGGGGAAAAACCAAAGTCTCTTTCTAATCAGGACATTGACTTAAAATGTTTTTTCTACCACCATCAATTGAAAGAAAATTGTTCACAAAAAAGCAACTTTGTTCTCATACCTAACATATTCATTCTTGAACTACATAATGTTTACTGAGCACCTGTTATATGCCAGGCATTATACTATACCCAGAGACATGAAGATGAAAAGACATACCTCTGCCCTCAGGAAGGTTAAGATATAGTCATACAAATGAATACACTGTAATAAAATAACCAAATTACTAGAAGGAAATAGCACAGTGTAGGAAAAGTTCCTATGCCCATCTGATGGGGACATCTTCACCAAAGCTATGACCCTTAAAGGAAGAGCAGAAGCCTTCAGGTGTTAAGAGTGATTGGTGGGAAGATATAATACAACAAATATCATTAACAAAGGTACAGGTATCACAGAAAGTGATTTCTCATTCAATATTGCTGAAATGTAAAGTAACAGAGAGGGATAACAAGAATTAAAGAAGACACTGTGGTAGACAAAGATACATATATGTAGGTAGGGACACTTAAGACTTTGAGGTGTCTGTGGGCTACCCTTACATCCATTTATTTTTGTACCACATTGTCAAAAATCAATTTCATGTTTTAGTAACTTGAAGAATGATGCCATTTACAGAAATACATTAAAAAATCATTCAGATTATATAGACATGTGAAATTAGAAAGAATAGATCTAACAAACATACTTATGCCTATTTCCTATTTTCTCCACGATCTATTTCTATCACAGGATCCTTCTAGAAGAAAAGACGTTAGATAATATATGAACACATACATATACACATAAGCTGTGACTGAATTTAGATGCAAGAAAAAAAATTTTTTTTTTTAAAGTACGTTTTCTTTTTTAAGACACTGAAAACTTAACCCAACATGTTTCTCTTTTCACTTTAGCCACCAGGAAACCTAAGAACCAAATTCAATGCCTGAGATCTTTAATCAGCTCATTTCTAGAATCTGATAATGTTTCCTTTCTTTAAGTAGTGGCTATTTAGTTATCTTTTTTATCACTAAGCATTCTATTCCACGTTTTATGAAGGCCTATAAGCCATGTAAAATTATTTAGATGCAATAAAATTTTTAATAAAAAGTAAATGTTAATGCAGAGGCAGCTCACAGTATTTGAAACAGTTTATTTTAGTAAGCAAATTAATCAGTAACATTCATGTAAATAATCTGCTCAGTAAATCACTTCTTCCTAAATACACAAAGATAAAGTATTTCAATTAGGTCAAATTAATTTTTCAAATCAGTAAGACTCAAAGAATATAAACTAAAGACTACATACAAATTAAAGAATAAAAAAGAGTCTAATGTCATATATATAGAATTACTAACTTTGCATATTGAACCCTTAAAAATATATTCAATTATCAAATCAATTTATTCTTATAAGCAGTTTACAATTCACAAGGACTCCTACAATGACACATTTTCACTCATATCAGTTCAAAGTTCATCTGTACCAT